AGGAGCCAGCTTTGAAGGGACTCACAACCTGGGACAACTTGAGTACTGAAATAAATAACAACCATGATGGATTACAACTTATTTAATAAAATAATTCCCGAGTCAATATTGATAATAGACACATAGATGATAGATAGATGGGAAAATGTTCTTACAGTTGGGTGGCAACTAATACATACAGAAGGATGATGGAGATGAAAAAGCACATTTTGTAACTATCACAGGAAAGAAGCATCAAATGATGTAAACTAGTGAGTGAAATTCTAAAAACAAGACATTAGATAGTCTCAAACATCTCCCCACAAACAACTTATTAATTAAACAGAGCAAAATGGTAACATGACAGTAGAGATACCTGGCAGACCGAATGATTAAAGTTAACATCTCTGGGCCCAAACTGATGTAATGTGCTTTCTGCTATGATCCACTTCCTTTCTGTAGTGCTCCTGCCAAAATGTAGAACTTGAATCTAAGCATGAGGAAACTAGACAAATCGAAATTTGAGAAATGTTCTACAAAAAACTGGCCTGAACTCTTCAAAAACAGTCCATGTTGAAAGATAAAAGCTAAGAAATGATTTCACATTAAGGGAGAATAAACTGATGGGGTGCCTGGGTGCTTAAAGTGACTTATCAATTAAATGTACTACAAATAACTGGACTGTGGGTTAGATAATAGCATGCACTAAATAGCCTGTGTCAATAATTGTGCTATGGCTATGAGAAAACGACTAAGAAAATGTCTTTGTTCTTAAAGCAGATAGTTAAGTTTTAGAAGTGAAGTAGCATAATGTCTACAGCTTATTTACAAACACTCCCTAAAATAGAATAATAATAGCAGTAGTAGTAGTAATAATAATGACAATAATAATACTGATGGTATAAATTAAATCTTCAGCTCTCTTTTCTTCAAACTAAATAATCTCAATTATTTTAGCCCTTTTAATCTATGTGAGACAAAAGGATTCAAAGTTGCCTGGTTTAAGCAGAAATTTGGGAAGTTAACAAAAAGGGATCTGTAGTCTCAATTCAGTTGAATTTAATAAAAAACTATTGAGTACTCACCCTATATTCAAAGAGCTCACAGTTTATTAGAGAAGGAAAACATGCATATAAACAGAGTGGAAGAGAAGTATACTATACGTACCAAAAATGAAGTATAAGAAAGTACTAAGGAATGTTGAGAGGGAGTGACTAATTCTGCCTAATATATTGTACTAAGCACTTTATATATTCATTCATTGAATGTACCAACAATCTCATCAAGGTAAGTACTATTTTATCCCCATTCTGCAGATGAGGCAATTGAGGCATAGAGAAGTTGAAAATCTGGCCAGAGATTATCTAGCTAGTTAGAAGTGCAGGTATGAAACTCAGACATGCTGACTCCATAGCCCATGCAAAAGGCTTACTGGAGGAAGCAGCATTTGAGTTGATCATTTAAAGGTAAGTATAATTTCAATAGGGCAGGAAGTGAAAAAAAAGAATGTTTAAGGCTGAAGGAAAAATAAAAGTGAAGGCATGGAGATAATACATATAGGTCATATAAGGGAAACGGAAAAGTTTAGGGAATGGTATGTAAGATGTGGGAAGAGAAACGGTTAAGAACAGAGGCTGGGAGATTAGACAGCCTTAAGAAACAAATTAGACTCCATCATGAGGATTAATACAGCCTTTGTTAGTAAAGAGAATGATTCTTATAATATGTACCATAATCTTTTTTTTATTTAAAATTTTTTTTTAACATTTATTTATTTTTGAGGGACACAGCATGAGCAGGGAAGGGGCAGAGAGAGAAGGAGACACAGAATCTGAAGCAGGCTTCAGGCTCTGAGTTGTCAGCACAGAGCCTGATGCAGGGCTAAAACCTATAAACTGTGAGATCATGACCTGAGCCGAAGTTGCTCGCTCAACCAACTGAGTCACCCAGCTGCCCCTGTACCATAATTTTGACGTAACTCAACATATTCCACATAAGAAGTCGGCCTTTGTGACATCCAAATGAACCTAGTACTAATAAAATCTTATTACAATCAATCTCTTCTAAAAATACCAGAACACAAATCATGAGAACACTTTCACAGTGACCTCCACACCTATGTATATAATAATTTCATTTCACAACAATCCTATTAACATGTAATACTGAAATGCCCAGAACTGAAAAAAGAACATCTACAATGCAACAATTCTGCCTTACTTTAACACAGACCATATAAACCATTTAAGAAACAGCGAATGAAATGTAAATAATGTAGCTCTCCTGTTATAGCTCCTTGTTTGTCATAATATTTATGAAAACTAGGTGATCCAATTAAAGGGATATAATGAGTAATATATTCCAAAAACTCTGTTAGATATGCAGTTCTAACCAGTAAAACAACCAGACTTGAATGCTTAATGCAAATCTCTGAGTTGGTAGCAGGGGTAATTGATTGTTCAATTAATAACTGAAGATAATATTTTGGCTTCATAGTAAATTAATTATGGGTAAAGCAAAGCATGTGACACTTAGAAATCTCTGTATTCATTTCTTAGTAAATATTAGTGAAAATCTGATTTTTATTTACTATAGTTTTAACGTATTCAAAATCTATACTGTAACCAGAATACCTGAAACAATCCAAGTTTGATAAAAACATTTAAAATATTCAGAATGTCAGAAATATTTAAAATTAAAACATTAACAAATTCATTAGTGACTATTTTTCATATATTTAACAAAGACCAAAAAATGACTTTATTTTCTATAAAACATTTTTGAGGCAGAGTTCTTAACTGCCCAATAAAATCTTATTCTGGCCTGGAAAGAATTTTATCTCCTTGGTTGACAGAATAGAATTAATTAGTGAGATATACACAATATTGAGGAAGCACCACAGAAGAGAATAATATGAAAAAGGCAGACAAACAATTTCAAAGGGCATCTGGAAATCAAAAGTTATATTTGGCTTAGTCTAAAACTAAAGAATAAGTGGACAATTAAAGAAATAGAACATTAAGGTATAAAAAAGTTCTCTCACCTAAAAACACCTAAAATGGTATGTAAAACTCAACAATCATCCTTCCCCTGTCTAAAAGGATTTCTGAGAGTAAAGGGAAATCCAGAAGGCCTTAACAAAAAATGAAAGGAACTAAACAGCAGTGTAATAATCTTGAACAGACACCACAGCTGATGGAAAGGGTAGTTGCTAAGAGGGATCTAAGCTTTAATAACAAGACAAAGAAGAGTGGGTGGTCCTGGATACCTAACAATGTGGAAAGTTGTAATCAATATCACTACATGAAAGCAGAAACCTTGAAAAGCTAAATTCCTATGAAATGATACATTTAAAAAAATTCTATTCAATAGCAAAGGAAGATGATAAAAATGTAACTTGTCTATTTAAACCTCAGCTCCAAATGAAAACGTTAAAGGAATCTCATGCTTAAAAACTGTTAACTGGTCTTAAGTTCTAGTACCATGAGTTGTCTGACATCAGCAAATAGAAATTCCTTCTGTGAAAAAAATTTTTTAAATGTTTATTTATTTTTGAGAGAGAGAGGGACAGAGAGATAGAGCGCGAGCAGGGTAGGGACAGAGAGAGAGGGAGACACAGAATTTGAAGGAGGCTCCAGGCTCTGAGCTGTCAGCACAGAGCCGGACGCTGGGCTCGAACCCACGAACCACGCAAGATCATGACCTGAGCCCAAGTCAGAACCTTAACAGACTGAACCACCCAGGCGCTCCCTTTCTGTGGATATTTACTCTTAACCCAGGCCCCACAAGATTCTCACAGATTTAAGTAGCCAAAAATGAATTCACAATATAAGATTACAAAACTATTAGGGAAATAAGACACCAGGACTGAAATCAACAGAAAAAACAAACAGAATTATATCTGAATGAACATCAAGAAGTATTAGAAATAACAGATACAGAATATAAAACAACTATGCTTTAAAAATTATGAAAAGAGGAAATTAAAACATGAGCAAGAAAATGTTATTACAAAAACAAACAACCCAAATATAATTTCTAGCACTGAAAAATCTATTATTTAACTAAAACCCTAACTATAAAAATCTTTTAAACACTACTTTAAACAATTAGGGAAAATGATTATGGGACTGTTTATTAAAGTATCAAGGAATTCTTGTTAATTTTTGTTAGGTATGATAAGAACATGGTGATTATTTAAGATGTCAGTATTTCTTTGAGGTATGCACTACAGTAGGACAAGTTACCGGGAATTTCCTTCAAAATACTTCAGCAAAGAGACAGAAAGGAATAGATAAAGCAAATGTAGGAAAATATTAGAAATGTTGAATCTGAGCAATGTATATATGTGAAATTTTTATAACAAAAATAAAATGAAAACTTTACTCATATGTGGAATTTAAGAAACAAAATAAATAAGCAAAGGAAAAAAATAAGAAAGAGATAAATGAAGAAGCAGACTCTTGGGGCACCTGAATGGCTCAGTCAGTTAAGTGTCTGACTTGATTTCAGCTCAGGTCACAATCTCAGTTTATGAGTTTGAGACCCATGTGCTCTGTGCTAACAGCATAGAGCTTGTTTGGGACCCTCTCTCTCTGCCCCTCCCCTGCTTGTAAGCACACTCTCTCTTAAAATAAATAAATAAATATGAAAATAGAAACAACAGACTCTTAATTATAAAGAAACTGATGTTTACCAGAGGGGAAGTGTGTAGGGGGCATACATTAAACAGGTGATGGGGATTAAGGAAGGCACTTGTCCTGATGAGCACAGGGTGATGAATGGAAGTGCTGAATCACTATATTGCAAACCTGGAACTAAAATAATATTGTATGTTAACTAATTGTAATTAAAACAAGTACTTAAAGAATTAGAAAAAAAAAAAGAAAAGAAAACTCAATGGATAATACAATCAGAATATTAGATAAAGCCAAAAAGAAAATTAGAGAATTCGAAGATGGATCTGAAGAGACTATCTAGATTATGATTAAAACTTAAAGGAAAGAAAAAAAAAAACTCACCTTCCTTTGGGCTCACTGCTGCAGGGAGATTGCTCCAATCAAGGGTCCAAGTAGGGCAAGGGTGGGGAGAAAACATCACTTCAATGCCTTTTTCCTAGAAATAGGAAATAGACTCTTTCCGAATTAATGAATTAATAGAATTCTGTTGTGTTTTAGAAGGCCAAATTTATATTTTCTACACTGACAAGAAGAAACACAAATATTAACAGTCATTAAATGTTCCTCAAAATATTTAGTTACACAAGGAATATGATATGTTGTATTTTTTGATAGCATACTTTCCTACTTTTTATACCTAGATAACAAAAAATGCTATTTTTAAATTACTACCTAAAACTACATAGAAGTAATAAGCTATCTAGAAATAAATTAGGTGTCAAAAAGAAAAGCTACCTGAGGATAAAAATTTTATCAAAAACATTCCACAGAGTATAAAATAAAAAACTGATTCTGCATATGTCCATCAGGATCTGTCTTCATATCTATGAAAGTTGTGACTGCCTAGGAATTATATTTACATGACAAAAAGCACCCACTTTAACATAATACCCCCAAACATCATCCATACTATTCTTTTACAAGTGTTTATAATGCCTCTAAAAAAGGATTCCTCTGTTGTAACTAAATGGTTCCCAACATTTCCAAAAATGAGGACCACTTTTCAATATATAAAAAACTTCTCAGGCTCCTTCCCTATGTTAAAAGTCGTGCGTTTATTTATTTGATCTGCAGACAGTTATATGGCATACATACGGATTCCCAGACCCCTTGCAATCACATTCTGGGTATGTGGCCCACAGGATAGATATTCATGGTTAAGGTATTTTATCTTCAGAAATATTATATTCAAATGAAAAATTTCTGAGAATCTATCACTAGTTTGAATCAATTAGCTCATGAGATTACTTTCCATTATGAAAACTAGTTGAATTCTGGTACCAAAGGAAATAGTATAAAGATTGTTTTATGAAGTAAAGATATATCTAGAGGTCTAGAGAACTTACCTGCTTCCAGAAAAATAAACACATCTCTCTGACATCATCTACCTCTATTCTATATCCCTTATTCTAGCCTAGCCATTCTGAACTTGCTATCCCTCATTTGACCAAATTTAATCTTACTTTAGAGTCTTTTCAAAAATACAATGAGATATCATTTATACACCATTACATTTATAACATATAATTTAATAGTTTTTATAATATTCACAGTTGTGCTACAATCAATACTAATTTGAGAATTTTTTCATCATTTCAAAAAGAAGTCCCATATCCATTAGTAGGTACTTTCAATCCTCCCCCCAACCCCCCACCAGCTCCCTGACCTAGGTAACTATTAATCTACCTTCTATCTCTATAGATTTTCTCAGGGTCTGTTCAGTAGTTGAACCCTCTGCCTAGAACACTTCCTCCAAATCTTCAATTCATTCAGGTTATTTGCTCAACGGTCTTCACCTTGTCAGATAAGACTTCCTAACCACTCCATCTACAAAGCACTCTAACTCACATAACCTCCACCCCTTTACCCCACATTATTTTTTTTTTATAGCACTTACCATTACCTAATGTGTTCACACATTTAATTGTGTTTTTTCCTTATTTACCTCCCTCATCAGAATTTAAGGCCCTTGAACTACAAAGCTGTCATCATCAAGACAGTATGGTATTGGCACAAAAACAGACACATAGACCAATGGAACAGAATTGAGAACTCAGAAGTGGACCCAAAAGTATACAGCCAACTGATCTTTGACAAAGCAGGAAAGAATATCCAATGGAAAAAAGACAGTCTTTTTAACAGATGGTGTTGGGAGAATTGGACAGCAACATGCAGAAGAATGAAACTAGATCATTTTCTCACACCATGCACAAAAATAAACTCCAAATGGATAAAGGACCTGAACGTGAGACAGGAAACTATCAAAACCCTAGAGGAGAAAGCAGGAAACAGCCTCTTTGACCTCCACCGCAGCAACTTCTTACTTGACACATCCCCAAAAGCAAGGGAATCAAGAGCAAAAATAAACTGTTGGGACCTCATCAAGATTAAAAGCTTCTGCACAGCCAAGGAAACAACCCAGAAAATTAATAGGCAACCAACGGAATGGGAAAAGATAGTTGCAAATGACATATCAGATAAAGGGTTAATATCCAGAATCTATAAGGAACTCACCAAACTACATGCCCGAAAAACAAACAACCCAGTGAAGAAATGGGCAGAAGATATGAACAGACACTTCTCCAAAGAGGACATCCAGATGGCCAACAGACACATGAAACGATGCTCAGCATCCCTCCTCATCAGGGAAATACAAATCAAAACCACACTGAGATACCACCTCACGCCAGTCAGAGTGGCTAAAATGAGCAAATCAGAGAACTCTAGATGCTGGCGAGGATGTGGAGAAACGGGCACCCTCCTACACTGTTGGTGGGAATGTAAACTGGTACAGCCCCTCTGGAAAACAGTGTGGAGGTTCCTCAGGAAACTAACAATAGAACTCCCCTATGACCCAGCAATAGCACTGCCAGGAATTTACCCAAGGGATACAGAAATGCTGAGGCATAGGAGCACATGTACCCCAATGTTCATAGCAGCACTCTCCACAATAGCTAAAACATGGAAAGAGCCTAAGTGTCCATCAATGGACGAATGGATCAAGAAGATGTGGTTTATCTATACCATGGAATACTACATGGCAATGAGAAACAATGAAATTTGGCCATGTGCAGCAACATGGATGGACCTTGAGGGTGTTATGCTGAGCGAAATAAGTCAGGCAGAGAAGGACAAATATCATATGTTTGCACGTATAGGAGGATTAGGAGGAACTTGACGGAGGAACAAGGGGGAGAAGAAGGGCGGAAATGGTGGGGGAAAGGGAGAGAGGCAAACCATGAGAGACTCTTGAATGCTGACAAAAACTGAGGACTGAAGGAGGGGGGGGGAGGGGGGGAGGGGCATAGAGGAGGACACTTATGGGGATGAGCACTGAGTGTTATGTGGAAACTAATTTGACAATAAACTATTTGTAAAAACAAAACAAAAAAAAATTCACTGATAAAAAAAAAAAAAGAATTTAAGGCCCTTGAAGGCAGTCTAATTTGCTTTTCATATATCCCACATTCAATACAAGGACTAAACATATACATTTCTTGGACTAACAGAATAAATAAATTTAAAACCTTTGGAGACTAAGGGAAATTTTGGAGGTAAGAGTATACCAAAGAAAAAAGAAGGAAAAAGTGAGATGTGAGTATTCCTAAGAAATACTTCACTATTTTATACTTCTACTTGGCACCAATTTCATTTGTCCTCATGTAACTGGCACAAAATACTGTGACTACAGAAAAATTAAAAGTTACGATATAAATAAAATAAATTCACATATATTATTTTGATACAGTATTCACTGTTTTTCAAATGTATGATAATAATTCACTAGTAAGTAGCAGAAACAATGTCCTGGTAAAAAGTAACATTTATTGTTTCTAATATATACTATCAAATTTGAAGTAAATGAAAATAGAAATTTTAACTTATTTTCAGGTTTGAACTTTTTTTAAAAAATTTTTTATTTTTATTCGAGAGAGAGAGAGAGTACCCGAGTAGGGGAGAGGGGGAGAGGGAGAAAAAATCTTAAGGAGGTTTCACTCTCAGCAAGGAGTCCTGCAAGGCTTGATCCCAGGATCCTGGGATCATGACCTGAGCCAAAATCAAGGGTCAGACCCTCAAACAATTGAGCCACCCAGTCATCTTTTTTAAATTGTTGATGTAATGTCCCAGTCATTTTTTATATAACCGTAAGATTTGAAATCAGAAAGAATCCCACAGAGTATCTACTACACTCTCCTAATTTATAAATGGAGAAATTAAGGCCCTTTGGTTAAACAACATACTGATAGTCATAAGGTTAGCTTAGTTACAAAGCTGGAACTAGAATTCAAGTTACCTGGTCTGTAGTAGTCTTTCCATGGACTGTTCCTAAGCCAATGAGTGAGACTGGTTAAGATAACTATGTCAGACCTATTCCTGAGAAACATGGAACTCTCTGACCGCTGATTTGGGTTCAAGGATGCCCCACTGGCTTGCCAAAACTTTCTTAGACCCGCACTAAAGTCTAAAACTTTTCTAACCCAGTCTTCCTTTCTTTCCTGACTCATGTACAAGGGTCAAACCTGCATCACAGACTGAAGGCTCTCCCAGTCTCCCTTGTCTCCCTCCCCACTTTACCTCACAGATTTCCCTCAGTAGACCTCTTGCACATCTAACCCTGTCTTGGAGTCTGCTCAGGGGCCTGAACTAACACATCCTCTGTAAATTAAAAATTAAGGATTCTTTTATATATTTTTATGTTATTATAAGACAGCTTATTTTTACAATTGCTTGTTAATTTTTCCTGAATTTAAATTTGTTTTTTATTTCTCATTGTTTATAAATATTTTTAAGATGTATAAAATACAAATGTTTTTCCTAACGTCATTTTATTGCCTGAAAAGCATAGGTAGAAAAATCTGAAGTCTGAATTTTTCATTCAAGACTGTGTAACTGTGAATTAAAAGCAGATTTTTGGTTTGTTGAAATTTTTAAAATTAGTATTTTATTTGCTTAATTTTGTTAAAAAGTTTTTAATGTTTATTTATTTTTGAGAGAGAAGGAAAGTGTAAGCAGGAGTGGGGCAGAGAGAGAGGGAGACAGAGGACCTGCAGTGGGCTCCATGCTGAAAGCAGCGAGCCTGATGTGGGGCTCGAAATCATGAACTGTGGGATCATGACCCGAGCTGAAGGTGGACACTTAACCAAATGAGCCACCCAGGTGCCCCCAAAATCAGTATTTTAATACAAAGCAAATTACTCTCCTGCTGATCCTTTATTTCAAGAAACTCAGGAAGTGAACTTGAGATCCCTACACAGTAGAGCCATCTGATCAAGACACATCGAACTTTGGACATGCCTTGATATCTTCTTCTAAATTCAACTAAATAATCATATTTCATTGTTTCATCACTAAGCTAAGAAAACTGAAAAGATAGGGGTGGGGGTCACTACTACAATCTTGTTCTTTTCTAATTGAGCAAACTCTATTAATGATAGAACTCAGATGCTTCCTAACCAAAGTGGAGAAATATAATAAATATGTTTCCAGTACAACTCAGATGAACAGCTCAAATTACTTCCTGATTTTTCCTCTATTCAAACAAATCTTCAAATAGCTGAAGCTAAAAGCAAAATATTTTTTGTAAATTGTTTAGGATGACAGAGAAAAGAAAGCCTATTGGAGAGAACTTGTACAACTAGTATTATTAGAAACAAATTTTGCTGCAAAGAGAGAAATATAAATTATATGTGTTATTCTATTAAAAGGCATTAAAATAGGGGTGCCCAGGCAGCTCTTGATTTCAGCTCAGGTTGTAATCTCACAGTTTGTGAGACAGGGCCACATGTTGGGCTCTTTGCTGACAGTGCAGAGTCTGCCTGGGATTCTCTTTCTCTCTCTTTCTGTCTCCTACCCCTCCCCTGCTTGCACTTACTCTGTCTCTCTCAAACATAAATAAACATTTTTTTAAAAGGCATTAAAATAAAAAGTAAAAACAAAATGCAAAGAACTAAAAAAAATCTTAAATTTAGGCAAAACCTTAGAAAGTAAATTGATATGTTTTCATATTCTTTAACTTCAAACCACCATCTCAAAATTTAAAAACCGAGGCCAAAACCTTGCAACAGAAAAACATCAGGTTAAAACAATACATTTGACCAGATGAGATATGACCTTGACCAATGTCTTGAATATAAAAAGACAAGTTTTGAGAAAAATACTTTTAAAAAATACATATTCTGACTTACTTGGCTCTAAAGACACATACTATTAAAAATCTTCAGTGATACCTCACTTACATGCAAAGACATAGAAATATAAATTGGTCAAGGGTGATGTAAAATGGCTACAAATAAAATTTAAAACAAAAGTGATATCAATAAATGATTACAATTTGGGGTAGAATGCTCAGCAACATTATATCACATGGAAGTTTTCAAAGAAAATGTGGATAAAAACATTTTAAGTACCATTAACTTGGTCATAGTGGGTCTTGGTCCTCCTAAAAATGAAGCGTCATTTTGCTCCTCTACACCTGGGACCTCACTTAAGTTTGCATCTTGTTCATTCGAGGTGGTCAGCAACTCTGGTAAATGGAGAAACTGGATCCCACACTGAGAAGCTGCTGCTTTTACTCTTGGCACTTCCTGAATCCTCTGGTACCAAGCAGCCAGCAATGGAAATTCTATCAGCTTTTCAGAAAGTTTCTTGCAGATAATTGCCTAGGCAGACAAAGAACAAAACACACTATTCTATATTTTTTAACAGCCATATTGAGGTTAACTTTACATACCATAAAATTCACACATTTTAAGTGATCAGCTCAATGAGTTTTAGTAAATTTATACAGTTGTGCAACCACCACCCCAATTCAGGATTAGAGCACTTATGTCACACCAAAAATTTCCATTATGACCACACCTGCAGTCAATCTCTGCTTCCCCATTTAGTTGTAAGCAACCACCGATCTCCTTTCCATGCCTATAATTTGCCTTTTCTAGTATTTCATATAAGTGGAACCAGAAACTGTGTCTTTTTTCACTTAGCATTAAGTTTTTGAGGTTCATCTATGTAGTTGCATTTGTTTAGTAGTTTGTTTCTTCTTATTCTAAGTCCTAGTCACTGTGTGGAATAAAATATTTTGTTCATCCATTTACCAGCTGATGGACATTTGCATTGTTTCCAGTTATTGGTAGTTATAAATAATGTTGCTATACAAACTCATGGACCAGTGTTTGTGTGGGAATGTTTTTCATTTCTTAGGAGTAGATAGTAGGAGCCACGTTGCTAGGTTATACGGAAACTGTGCTTAACTTCCAAAGAAACTGCCTAACTCTTCTCCCTGATGGCTGTACCATTTTATATCCCTACTAGGAATGCATGGAGGTTATTTTCTCCAAATCTTGCCAATGATAGGCCTTGTCAGTCTCTTTTATTTTAACTATTCTAGTGGATGTACAGTAGTATCTCGTTGTGAATTTTTTTGCATTTCCCTAGAACTGATGATGTTGAGCTCCATGTGCTTCTTTGCCATTCAAAGTATCTCTGGTGAATGTATGAGAGTTATATAATTAGCAGTTATAGAGATGGCATAGAAGTTACAGAGATGGTAAGCAAGTATATGAAAAATGTAAATCATTTATACCATTAGAGAAATGCAAATTAAAACAAGGAGATACCACTACACACGTCTTAGAATGGTGAAGAGGCAAAATCTGACAAAAGCAAATGATGGCGAGGATGGGGAGCAACAGGAACTCTCATTTGCTGCTGGTAGGAATCAAAATGCAACAGCCACTGTGAAAGGCAATTTGGCGACTCCTTACAAAGCTCACCATATGATCCAGCAATTGAACTCCAAATAAGTTGAAAACTTATGTCCATGTAAAAACCTGCACATAGATGTTTATAGCCAAAACTTGGAAGCAACCAAGATGTTCTTCAGTAGGTGAATGGATACATAATCTGTGGTACATCCAAACAATAAAATATTATTCAGTGCTAAAAAGAAATGAACTCATCAAGCCATAAAAAGACATAGAGGAACACTAAAAACACATTACTAAGTGAAAGAAGCCAATCTGAAGGGCTATATACCATATAATTTGAAACATACGACATTCTGGAAAAGATAAAACTATGAAGGCAGTAAAAGAGTAGTGATTGTCAGGGATTAGGAGAGAGGGATGAATAGGTAGAGTACAGATTTTTAGGGTTGTAAAACTATTCTGTGTGATACAATAATGATGGATGCATGTCATACATTTGTCAAAATCCAGAGAATGTACAACCTGAAGAGTGAACCCTAATATAAAATATGGATTGGGTTATAGTAATGTTTTAATATAGGTTCATCAGTTTAATAAATGTACCACTCTGATGGAGGATTTTAATAGTAGAGGAGACTGTGTATATGGGGACAGACAGTATATGGGAATTTTCTGTACATTCTGCTGTATTTTACTGTGAACTTAGAGCTACCCTAAAAAAGAAAGTCTACTTTTTAAAGATATATTTAAAATCAAAACATAGTATTTAGATAAAAAGACTGACAAAGGACTAATGTCTTACAAAGAAGAAGAGGCTCAAAAGGTATTTGTGAATTACTTGAATAATAATAATAAATATTACATACACACAAACTAAGAATGTATTCACATACTGACTATCCTTTAAGTAAAAAAAAAAAGTAATGGGAAAAACCCATACTTAGCAGAAAAAGGACAAAAAATGTGAATGGATTATTCCAAGAGAATCAATAAAAATAACATGACAACATTTGAAATGTTACAATGGAAAACCATCTTGGAAAACTTTGTTATCTTGTATTCAAGTTTATATCATCTTTCATTGGTAGTATATTTTTTATACCTCTCTAAAAACTTTTCCTTAATCAACTTCCTTCAAACCTGGAAACTCCTTCCTCTATAATTCATGGTCCAGAACATATTCCACTGTTCCAGACCATCATATTTCTTAAGTTCTCAACACACTGAATATAGAGAGTAAAAGGGCACTGCGTGGTCAAAAACCTGAGATACTTAATACATACTTATTTATGAAAATTAGCTTAAGTGGTCAATAGAGGAAGAATTAAAATATGTCGAAGTGTTGACTTCCTCAAAGTTAATTATGTAATACTTTTAAATGATTATAATTTAATGTCTACAGAGAGTTTATTTGGTGTCTTTTGAGGAATCTCAATGGAAATTATGCACTCACTGGATAAGTGTGGAAAGGAGAAAAATGGAGAGGCTGTACTCTTATTTTAATAGCGATTCAAAGGTGTTTTGTTTTTTTTTTTAAGTGACTCCTTCTTCCCTGAATGCATGACATGATAACACAGAAGCAAGGCACTATTACTTGACAATAATGTAAGAAAACTGTCAGGACTATATTTTTAAAAAAGACTTGATGGATTAAGGAGGAAATTTCACTGAAGTAAAATGGTAAAAAGATAAAAGTTACAATTATAAATATATAGAGGTAAAAAGATAACTAGCATCATTTACAGGGCAATTTTTATAACATAGCACTTATAGTAAGGCTTTTATTTAAATTAGAAAATGTAAAACCATTCCTCCTGATTTAAATTATCTTTTTGTTTTCTCTTGTCCAGATGTTTTTTCCCTACCATTACCACCAAACTTCAATTTCTTTAAAAAATAGAATGTTCTTGCTTCTTTTTGAGGCACTGAATGTTGTTTCCATAGAAACAGTAATAACATCACAAACAGATTATGACTGGTGATTATGCACAAATAGACAAATACAAAGGTCAAATCAAGAAAATCTTGACACATATAATTAACAATAATCAATACCAAAGCAGAAGCCAGAAAGGACAGAAAAGGAATAAAAAATTCACATGCATCTATATTTTAGTTTATTTTAACTGGACTTTAAATAAGCATAAGTAATTGATTATAAAGGCAGGCCTTATGTCTAACTCTTTTTTATATAGCAAGGACTTAAAACACTGCCTTGCAAATAACAATAACTCTGCTGAGTGAACAAATGATCAAGGAACTACACATTAGCTTCAAAGAATAATTTCCTAAATTTTTTTTTCAAACAGCTGTTTATGACCCTTGAGTGACTTGCAAAATCAACATAGGTTTAAAAATGACATAAAATAGAAAATATCAGAGTAAGCAGCATGTAGTAAGGTGGAATACTTTATATAATACTTATAGGTATATTTAATGTATATAAGATATATATTTGTATAAGTATACTCAATCACCTTGTAAAATGCATTTTTTATTGTGAATTAAAGTAAAAAAAAAGTTCGAAATATACTGTCGAAATGGTACTCAGGGAGCCAATTTATAATTCTCACCAAAATTCTTAATTGCCTGAAAATAGCTTATGTGATAAGGGAACTGAGCTTAAGTCATTATAAAAATTAATCACTTAAGAAATGTTCTCATTTCTTCACCTTTCCTTTCCTCTCCTTGGTAGTGATTTATTCTTATTTGTTAGATGCATACGGCATCTTTGCTTCCATTTGAAAATAAGTTGTGATTAAGTAACAATAATTCATGTTTAAAAGAAATTGAGAAGTTTTACTCTGCATGACAGGTCATCTCATTTAATCAGCATGCCAGGCTGCCCTGCTAATATCCAGGCAGCTCAGGAGGTACTGAAGCACATTCATTACACTCAAGGAGATATATTTAAGGAAGTGGCTAGTGAAAAATGTGTGAGATGAAAATTATATGTGTTCCTAAGAAATGATTTTAAAAAGTTACCTGCCTGATAAGATCAAAACCATTATAAATATCATAATTACTTAAAGACAAGAAAGTGAGATCATTTATTCTTAAACTAATAAATAAAGAATGATTGCTACCAAGAGCACAAAATGAAAGCTAATGGCTTTGTAGTTAATTGTAATAAAGGGCAGCAAAATTTGTCTGGAGAGTAGCGAGATGTTACATCTATCTTAAATATCTCCTCCACTGCATCACTTTCCTATCACCTATTATATAAAATGTTTTGTACTTTATATCACTTCTTTAGCCATGTTTACTCTTTTGGAAACATGTCATAACAAATACATGTTTAGGTAAGCAGTGTAAGCAGTAAACAATCTATCTAAATGGAAATATAATCCCAATTCTGTATTTTTTTACTTATAGATTAGAACTGGTGGGTTACTAAAACTGAAAACTCTTGGGGCACCTGGGTGGCTTAGTTGGTTAAGCGTCCAACTTCGGCTTAGGTCATGATCTCACAGTTTGTGAGTTTGAGCCCCGCTTCAGGCTTTCTGCTGTCAGCACAGAGCCTCTTTCAGATCCTCTGTCTCCCATTCTCTCTGCTACTCCCTCTCTTTCAAAAATAAGCAAACATTAAAAAAAAAAAAAAACTTAAATTCTTAAGGACCTAATGCATAGGAGAGGATATAGAATGCACACATTAACCACTAAATAAGTGGTATCCATGTTTTTTGCAATGTGCCAGCCAATAATGAGATTCCCATTTTATCCCTACTTTTATGTCAATGGAGACAGTGAATGAGATATTTAATATAGGTACTTTGGCTTAAAAATAAATTTCTACAATAATTTTACATTAGTAATAAATGTGTCATACTTTTTAAAAACTCAATTCAAAGCTTTAGAGTTAGCATGTAAAAGGTTAAATCACAAGTATTCAATTTACAAAAAATATTTTATAAACTGGCAAATTTTGTCTTATAGGGGTAGAATAATCTTTTTTTTTTTTTTTGAGGGGGCGCAAGTAAGAGAGGAGCAGAGAGAGAATCCCAGGAGAGGGAGAGAGGGGATGAGAGGGAGGGAGGGAGAGAAAGAGAGAGAGAGAGAAGAGGCTCGCCCAAAGTGGGGCTTATGTTTTACCCGAAGCGGGGCTCGTGCTCACCCCAAGTGGGCACAAGCTCACTGGATGTGGAACTTGAACTCATGAACCATAAGATCATGACCTGAGCTAAAGTCAGATGATTAACAGCTGAGCTGCCCAGGTGCCCAGGAAATTTAGATAAATTAGAAAAATTTAGATAAATTTTTAATTTTTTAGATAGATACTTGTTTATTAGCAGCAACTTAAAAATAACTATACAATTTCCTGGTATCAGGGAACAGCAGGGTTTTAGCTATTTATTGCTATTTCTCCCATATGGTTGCTATACTAACTATTAGAAGATGTTGGCAAATGACTTAAAGAGGGAAAACATAAAATCTATTCCTAAAACTTTCTGGAGAGGGTTTTGTCAGGCACCTTCTACAACAAAGTGCTGGGCTACTGAGTTAACTTTGCAAACTAATATGCACTGAAAAGGAAATGTTTGGGGCAGATTTAGACACAGCACCTCGGCCACTCTACTCACTACTGTTTTGCATCTTTGACTTTATTCTGTTTAACGGAACTGTGTATTTTCCCTAGCTCTTCTAATTTTGACCTCTGGTATTCCAAAATTTGACTTAGCAAAACTGACTTCTCTTTTATGTTTTTGGCCTTATTCCTGTGGCCAAATATCCCTGCTCTAGGTTTGGTTCTATGTTTCTGATCCAAACTTAGTAACTTAACTTTCATTCCTGACCATGAACTTGATCCTGATTCTGATCATTTAAAATGATCACTCCATCACCTCAATGTGTATTACTGCAAGCATAAAGGTTCTCCATCATAGCCACTACCTGAACTGCTTTATAACCCAAGATGACTTAAAGGAGGAAAATAAACATAACAGAAATAATATCAAGGCTTTGGCAAAGAAAGATTAAACCCTGAAAGAAACTATACAGATCCAAGATAAATACAAGCAAAGGAAAATATTGTTGAGAATTAGTTTACATATAAATGCCAAAAGAGAAAAATGGAATCATAGAATATGTGTAATAAAGAAGGCTGAGTGTATAAGTTTTCCCCTGTTTTAAACTAAGAACAGAGCTCTTCAGTAGTATTAGGTAAATTTACTCAGTATTGGCTAGTAGATGTCCTACCTGAATGGAAAGGGTGAAAAAAATCTCTCTCAATTAAAAATACTTCAGCCTCAATTGATCCTAATTAGGTAAATAGTATGTAAATTAAGCTAAAATCATACACAAACTAGCTGAAACTGGATGTTTGGATAATGATCTAAGTCAACTTCATACAGATAAATCCAGTTTTATATTTGTTTTGTTGAGTTTGAAAGCAGATACTATCTTCTCTATCACTTTGTTTTATTTTCTTTGTACCACTTATTATTTAAAAAAAAATATATATCTATGTATATATTATTTGTTTGCTTGTTCATTTCCACCTTTCCCTACTAGAATACTAACTCCATGAGGGCCAGGATTTTATCTGTTTTGCTCATTACTCTATCTCCAGTGACTATTAACAGTGCCTGCTATATACAGTAGGCTTTTAATAAATTCTCAAATGAATAAATGAATGATGTGGCATTTTGATTCAATTCTTACAAAAGTGTAAACAAACACAGTTATCTGAGAGGGCCAAGAAGCCACAAACACCAACAGTATTTCATCATATGTATTCAAATGACTGGTCTAATGACCGATGTTGCTAATAAAGTGGAGGGTCAGGAGTAAGAGAATTTAGAAATCATTAGACTAGAAAAAAAAGTTGATGTTTTCTCCACACTGAGCTCTGTGGCTACTATGCAAACATGGACACTTAAAATGTTAATCAATATTTAAAGTTATTTTCGTTTCTAATCTTATTTTGTTTCTATTTGGGGGGTGGGGGAGGAAGAAATGTTCTTTAAGAAAATACCAATTGATTAATACCACCTAACTTATTAGTGGAGCAACAGCCTCTAAATAGATTTTCATTAGACATCTTTTCTCATTTGTCAGTAGAGATACCTGAAGTGTTGATATATGATATATGAGAATAAAATTTGATATCTGATTCCTTTTTAGGGGGAAGGGTGAAACACTTCCAAGCAAGAAAAATGCAGCTCTTAAAAGCCAAGTGGAAAGCTGCAGAGAGCTATAGCTTCCCATGTTCACTCTAATATTATTTTTACCTTGTTCTTTTTGGCTCTGCAGAGAGAAAAATAAACACACACACACACACACACACACACTCATACTAGGAAAGAACATTTTCCACTTATATTCTCCTACAACACTGAATAGCTACCTTCCATAATCCTGTAAGGAACAGAGAAGCATAGACAAAATGATAAAATATTTCTGATTTAATAATACCTAACATAATGCAATTAGTATTTTAAGGGGCTACTTAATTATAAAATATAACTGGCAAGATTTTTTTGGTGTTTTAATACTGGATCTTCTAATATATGAAGGGAATCACAAGAGCAATTTGAAATTAATCATCATAACGATTGTTAAATTTTAGCAACTCAAAATTAAAAGTCCTAATAATTACAGATATTTAATGAGAGCTTGCCATGTGCCAAACACTGTTCACACTTCACACACAAATTGTCATTTACTCCTCATACTGATCCTACTAGATAGGTACTATTATCTCTACTTCACAGATAAGAAAATGCAGACAGCTATTAATTACTTCCCTAGGAGCACAATGATAGCAAGAAATGGAATAGGGATGCAAGCCTAGGCAATTTCATAGACTCAGACTTACAGTGGAACGTATCCACTCTCGATAACCCTTACCAGAAAATGATGGATACAGGGCAAGAGCACGATATCTGCCAAAGTGAAGTACAGGCCTTCTGCAAACACATGCTCCAGGGGCGGAAGGTCAGACACTTTCGCTTTTCTGATGTGAGAGGGTTCCCTGTTGGTAGTAGCTGGTTCTTCGTACACTGTGAACTTTGAGAAAGCCACTTGCAGTTCCAGGCTCTTGGATGAAGAGTCCAACTCTTCAGATGTTTCTTGTCTATGGACCTGCCTAAGGGCAGGCCCACCCCCAGCAGCCTTCTGTTGCTTCAGCTTCTGCCGACGGAGTTTGTCATCGTTATGCACTCTAACGGGCTCACCGAGCTTTCGCTCTAGCTGTAGTATTTCTGCAGGGATAGTTGGGTGCTGGTCAGAAGACTCTTTGAGAAAATTCTCAATAGCTAAAGGGATGGTGAGTTCGCATAGCCTGGTCCACTGACTGACCTGCAAAACAAAACAAGACAAGAGATGAAAGGATTCTTTACTTTCAACGTAGCTTGAAGAAAACTTTCCCTTGGGAAACAAGACTGGTTTTGACAATTTAAGCCTTGAGCTAAACCACCCCTGGGCTAGGCTTGTATGCTATCAAAGTGTTTCAAAAGTGACAACACTAAACAACGGTTTAGCATTCCTATTCCTGGGAATACATGCTAATGTCCCGCATCCTCTTAATGAATAAATCCTTCCTTCCCAAAGCCTTCAAAGTCCATCCATCCCTAAAAAGCATGGTTTTCAAAGCAGTGCTACTGGAGCTCCTGTTCATGTGTAAAGTTTGTTTTCAAAATCCTCAATGGAATTAAAACAAAAGAAAAAAAAGAAGTCATTGTCTAGAAATAATGTCTCCAAACCTCACAAAAGAAATCTTAAATTCTTATTTCTCAACACTGCACCAAAATATTGGCATACATGAAGGGCTACTTTATTTCCTTGCTTACTATAGGTTTTTTAAGTAAACGCAATTTTAGCCTACTGCAGAAAGCTAAAATAAATGGTCGAGTGAGTGTTATCATTTTATGGCTTTAAATAACAGAAGGGGCCTTATACTTACTTCAGCACAGGCTTTCAAGCAAGTCTTCTTAAAACCCAGAAGTTCCAAAATTTCCTTCTTGGAAGAGTCAGCTTCATATGATTTCTGGATTATGTGCCTCAGCACAACTGCAAGTCCTGCTCTACAGAAATTGTCTGGTTTTTCTACTACTGCAGGTAAACAGCAATTCTGGACTATTGCTGGAAGCTCTTGCCTTGAAATAATCTGTATTTCAACATCCTGGGGGACTGCGTTTTTTAGCGAAATATCTGTGCTTTCTTCTGTGAGGACTAAGCCAACTTTGAAGATTTTGCAGTCACAGTATGATAACAAAAATAAAGTTACAGATGTGTGAAGAGGAAAGATGCAACCTTCTATTTGGTGAGAAAAGTCCAAGTATAGATATTCTTCTGTCAGACTTTTCTTAATGCCTTTCATTTTCCTCTTTCGTTGGGTCACCTGAAGGATAAATCAAAGTGGTTAATAGGCCTTAGGGTATAGTAATTTGGAAGCTGAAATAAAAGATGAATATTTTAAAACTTTTTCTAGAAATCAGCAAGGATTTGTGATAGATATGATTCCACAAGAATTTGTTCCTGGACTAAATAAATGGCTTCCAAAAGAAAGATTCCCACCCCATGCAATTAACTAGTCTTGGAGGTAATTTTACACGCCTTTAAAATAAGCATACCAAAGGGCGCCTGGGTGGCTCAGTCGGTTGAGCGTCCGACTTCAGCTCAGGTCATGATCTCACAGTTCATGGGTTCGAGCCCTGCGTCGGGCTCTGTGCTGACAGCAGGCTCAGAGCCTGGAGCCTGTTTCAGATTCTGTGTCTCCCTCTCTCTCTGACCCTCCTCTGCTCATGCTGTCTCTCTCTCTCAGAAATAAATAAAACATTAAAAAAATTTATAAAATGAGCATACCTCAGGTGCTTTGCCAATAGAACCCTCCCAATCAAGTACTTTGGGGTCTCACTACAGGTAATACAAACAAGAAATGAATAGGATAGGAAATAAGAAGTAACCAAGAATACTGGGAGCTGCCTGGAGAAGCTTTGCCATGCTGGTCCTCCAAGCAGCTGCTGTGTTATGACTACAATATAATAATGGGGAGAGGGTATATATATTCACTCCATCATGAGAAATAAATTCTCCTAAAGTAAGTGGGTTTTGACTATGACGAGCATGCTGAATCACAAGAGAAAAATATTTGAAGTTCCCCATATCTTAGATGTTGATAACCAAGATATCTCAAAGTTAACATGTCCAAAATCATTCACCTCCACACCCTAAGTATGCTCCTCATGTATCCTCTCCATGACAGTTAATGCAACACCATCTTTCTAGTTGTTCAGCCAAATACCTGGAGTCATTCTTAATTACTCTTTTTATTATTTTTTAATTTTTTTTTCTTTTTTTACTTCTGAAAGAGAAAGAGAGAGAGAGAGAGAGAGACAGCATGAACAGGGGAGGGTCAGAGAGAGAGGGAGACACAGAAGCTGAAACAGGCTCTAGGCTCTGAGCTGGCTGTCAGCACACAGCCCGATGCGAGGCTCGAACCCATGAACTGTGAGATCATGACTTGAGCCGAAGTTGGACGTTTAACCGACTGAGCCACCAGGTGCCCCTAATTACTCTTTTCTTTAACACCTTCATAACCAATCAATTTAAAACTTACTCTCATTCCTCAATATATATATATCTAAAATCTGTTTATTTCTATACCATCTTCATTGCTTCCATTGTAATCCAAGCCACAATCACCTCTCTTCTGAATTATAGCAGTTATCTTCTAACCCTGCTTTCCATCCTACCTCCCCCTCTCTTCTATTCTCAACAGAGCATCCAAAGTGATCTTGTTAAAAATGGAGTAGGATCAGGTCAATACTCTACTCAAACACTCCAATATCTTCCCATCCTATTCAGAGAAAAGGCAAAGCTCCTACAATGGACTACAAAGATCTCCTTGATCTGATCACTCAATACTCCAGCCAGAGCAGCTTGTTATTCCTTTAAAACACTAGATACACTCCCGCCTTTGGAATGGTTTCCAGTGCCTAGAACACACTGTCATCTCCTTCAGGTATTTACTTAAACGTCAGCTTCTTATTGAGATGATCCCTGGTTACTGTATTTAAGTTGAAAACTCCAAACCCCACCCTCACGGAAAAAAAAAAAACCTTTCTGTGCTTTTCTCCATACTTACTACTGTGGTAGCATACTATATATTTTGTTTCTCACAGGTAGATTGTTCCATGAGAGTAGAAATTTTGTTTTGTGTACCGCTCTGCCAAAAACAAAACCTGAATAAGATAGATGATAGATAGATAGATAGATAGATAGATAGATAGATAAAATCAAGAAGTATTTGTTGAATGAATGCATGGATGTGTACACACAGTTTATTTTAAAGATGCAGACATACACAATCTTGAGATCAAATTATTGATGGTGTTTTCGTCATATTTCTTAAGAATATTGTCAATCATGAGGACTCTGATTTCTGTTTCCTGGGTCTAAAATTCCCGTGTTCTAATCCATAAATCACAGTTCCAAAATTAACACTAGATGGCACTCTTTAAAAGCATTCACCATGGAAGCCTGTAATAGGAAGATGGTAGAGAAAAAATGATTTTAAAGGCCTTTAAAGAGTACACCTGAAACTCTTTCTTTTAAGTGTATTCTGAAATATTAGTGTACTCTGAAATTTAGGAAATCTTCAAACCCACTAAATTTCCTTTATATTTTAAATTCCTTAGTTTTTTCTTTTTAATCAAAAGGAAAACAAGTATCTTTAAGTGTCTTGGTCCTCAGCTTTTTTGTTAAAGAGCTAATAATTCATTATAACAAAGGGATATAGTTAGTAAAATACTTTCTTAGAGAACCTTTTGATACTGCAAGTAATCACTACTATTTTATTTTGTATTTCTTTTATTAAAACATAACAGATCTGCACGACGCTTTGTTACTTCTATAAAGGATTATCTAAGGAAGGGAGGCAAGATGGCAGAGAAGTGGGGAGCTCCGTACATTTCACTCGCCCCCATCTCTCAAACAGAGAAGGCCTGAAGCCATAGGAACCCTTACAGAATCCAGGAGTTTGGGAGGAAAAGGAGATAGAGTCCACTGAGAAAACCTTATAGCATGAGTGAGAACTGGGGAAGATAAAAATGGGCAGGGACTGGAGACACGGAGGGAAGGGAAGAAGCCCCCTTTGCAGGGAGCCGAGGTGAATCGAGGGGAAAAGAAAGAGTGGCTGAAACTGCTCAAGAAACTGTCCCTGTCCCTGGAGAAGAGAAAAACCTCGGATCGGGACACGGAGGGATCCAATTTCCAGCTGTCCAGCTGACCTTGAGCGGGACGCACTGGTCCCAGGCAACGCCAGGAGAAACTGCTCCTCTGCTCACCAGCTCGACCTGGAAGGGAAGCAGCGCGCCTGAAGCTGCTCCGCCACTCTTCTGGCTTGGCTCGATTCCCAGTGGGGAGGCGGCCAGTTTGAAACTGCTCAGAGGGACTCGGCCTGTGGATTTATATTTCAGACAGTATCAGTCGGGCGTGGGGACTAAGATCTGGAAATGAGGTGTGGCTTGGGACATAGAGCACAACCCACCTTGGCTATGCCCACGGCACAGAGAGAGCAGACCCAAAAGAGTGAGTTGCTTTCCACCAAGTTGGGACCTCAGGAAGCAGCCTGCAGGATGCAGTGGAGGCTAAGACCCACCTACATCAAACCACGCCCATTCCTGCTAAAGAGCTGGGTTTTTTGTTTTGTTTTGTTTTGTTTTTACCGGAGCCCAGGGCAAGACCAACATGGATGCACTACCGTGATTAATTCTAGATCAATTTTTTCTATTCAGATATATTTTCACTTGTCTCATTTGTATCCCTCCCGTCTGCCAGACTGGGCGCTCTGGTCACTGGTTTGCTTAAACAGTCACATTTAATCTATTCTTTAGATGTATACTGTACACCTCCACCACTACCTCTCTCTCTCTCTGGAGTAATCAGACTATATAGTTTCTCTGGGTAACATTATCTTCACATTTCTTTCTCCTCGTCTCTTACCATATTCTCCTCTTTCTCTCTCTGAATTAAGCCTCTTAGTCTCTCTGCCTGGTCATGTCTCTTGCAATTTCGCTCTTCCCCACCCTGTCATTTCTCTCTTTGTATATGCTCTTCTATCAGCACTGCATACACCCGGCTCTTTATTTATAGCTGGGAATCCAGTTTTATGCTTTTAGATTGTCCTTTGTCTTTTGGGTTTTTTCTTTCTTTTCTTCTTTTTTATTTTTTTATTTTTATTATTTGTTTTTTCTCCTTCCTCTTTATTTTTTCCCTTCTTTTTTTTTCTCTTTTTCTTTTTACCTTTCAGTTTGCATGTTTGTCAGATTTGTCTGTGTGTTTGTGTGCCTTTGTTCCATGTATGTTTGTCTGCCTGTTTTCTTTTTCAGGGCTACCTCAAGAAACAAGCCAAAGTACACATGGTGGAGAGTCCCAAATACCAGTACAAGTAGGGAAATAAAATGACCAAAGTCTCAACAAGAGAGACCAAGAGACACCATTCAAAGAACACTTCCTGAATGGACAGGCTCTGGACAGTCAAAGAGCTTTCTTTAATACAGCAGTACTCGCAGGTGCAGAGTGCATAACAAGCTTTTAAAACTAACAAGAGACAGAAAGCTAGCTAAAATGATGAAATGGAAGAAGTCTCCTCTAAAGAAATTACAGGAAGAAATGACAGGTAAAGAACTGCTCAAAACAGATATAAGCAGCATAACTGAATAAGAAATGAGAACAATAGTCATAAAATTCTTTGCTGGGCTTGAAAAAGGCATGGAAGACATCAGAGAAACTATTACTACAAAGACTATGGAGCTTAAAAATAATTGTGATGAATTAAAAAATGCTAAAATGAGATGCATAATAAAATGGAGGCATCCAATGCACAAATTGAAGAGGCAGAGAGAATAGGCGAATTAGAAGACACAATTATAGAAAAAGAGGAAGCTGAGAAAAAGAGAGATAACTGATCCAGGAACACAAAAGGAGGGTTCGAGAGCTGGGTGGTACAATCAAATGGAACAATATCCATATCATAGGAATCCCAGAAGAGGAAAGAGAGGGAAAGGTGCTGAAGGAGTCCTTGAACAAATTAGAGCAGAGAACTTCCCCAACCTGGGGAAGGAAACAGACATTGAAATCTAAGAGGCACAGAGAACTCCCCTCAGACGTAACTTGAATCGATCTTCTGCAGGACATATCATAGGGAAGCTAGCAAAATATAAGGACAAAGAGAGAATTCTGAAAGCAGCTAGGGATAAAACGGCCTTAACATACAAAGGAAGACCTATCAGATTGGTCACAGACCTATCTACTGAAACTTGGCAGGCCAAAAAGGAATGGTAGGAAATCTTCAATGTGATAAACAGAAAAAATATGTAGCCAAGAATCCTCTATCCA